GGTAGGCTCAGGGGGCCATATGAGATGCCAGGGATTGAACATGGGTCAACCACATGCAAGGCAAGTGCTCTACTATCTGTCTCTCTAGCCTGTAACAATAATTACCTTTAACCAAGAAGATTCCCGGACACAGTCCAGGGGGTAAGGTGCTGGCCCTCCACGAGGCCAAACCCAGTTTGATTCATAGCACCACACCTGGTCCCCTCAGCACTGCCAGGTGTGATCCCTGAGCACAGAGCCAAGACTAGGCTCTTATCACCACTGAGTGCTGCACCAAAACCAACAATCAAACCAAACCAAACCAAACCAAGAACCTGCAGGAGAAACTCCAGACAAAACGCATATTAGATTCAACGCAACGAAAGAGCCGATGACTCCCATCTGAGGCGGAGAGCTCTGGGGTGCCAACCTGTGTCACTCTGCAACGGGGAAGGTTAGAACCAAGCTCTTGAGTGAGGGACGAGCCCTGTGCAGGTGTTTCCTACTTTCAATCCGCCCTGGAAATGTGACCTGCACAAGTGCGCAGGAGCTAACCAGGACCTTGTCCCGGGTTTCAGGGCAGCTGAACCTCTAACCTTCTAGAGAGGAGATGCTTTCCTGTAGTTCAGACTCTCGGCTGATTACTGAGAGACTGGCTCACGATAACCTGGATGCTGGAATACAAACCTTATTGTCCAATGATTCTTGTGTACAAAGAAACACAGCTGTGAAGCAGCTTTAATCTTTTTTTATTCTGTTGCAAAGTGGACAGTGAAAACAAAAGGTCTTTGATAAACATGTTTACTGTGAGCCACAGGAGTGCAGCTCCGGCCTATTAGCTGTGTGACTTCCTTGTGCAAATGTGGTTTATATTGTACATGGTCCCATCTATCCATCTATTTATCATCCAAGCACACAGCCATCCATTATCTCTGCGTAGCTCAAACACTAAGAGGTAAAAAGCCCTATAACACAATGACATTGGAAATCTTTCTCTTGGTTTTTATTTTGGACTTTCCCCATGATGCTCGGGGATCAGGGTTTGGGGCCACTTCTGGCTGTTGCTCAGGGGAACATGCTGTGTTGGAGAGTAACCCCAGGCCCATGCAGCCTACTGAAATATTTCTCATGCATCTTGTCACCTACTCAGCAGTTCCTGATGTCCATCCCCTGGGACTACAATATGTAGTTTCATGTTTTCCTATTCTCTTTATGAATAGATAAGCAAAGAAAAATGTCATTTTTATGCTCATTAATCATTGGACACTATTATTAATGATAATGGCATTGATTAAATATCCCCACCTCTCTGTCCCTAAGGATATGCTCACAGGGACCCACGGGCCATTCTTGTCTGGCCCCTCGAGGGGCCTTAGTGTTGGATCCCATCTACCAATGAAACTCTCTGGGCTTTCATGCTTTCTGTTGAATGTCATGCTCTTTCATCTTCAAAAAGACTCTTCCCTTTGCTTGGAACGTTCTCTTGAAACACAGTTCTCTGCCTACCGCCCCTTCCAGCTCCCTTGTCTGCCTTATCTCAGACCTGGGCTTAAAATCGCTGTCAGTGCCTGTTTCCAGCCTTTCCATCAGCACCGTGCCTCTGAGCGCACTACCATCCACCCATTCATTCAACAGATGCTCAGCGTCTGCTGCCTGCTGTGCACTGTTCCAGGCTACCTTAGCATACTGCATTGCCACTGCAGGTACACACGTATATGTGTGTGCACGCAGGCACCTGTGCGCGCGCATGTGTGTATCACTGTCATCCTATTTTTCATCGTTTTACTTGAGCAGGCACCAGTAACATCTCCATTTGTCCCAGCCCTGAGATTTTAGCTGCCTCTACTTACTCGTCTTTCCCAACGCTGCCATATTGGAGGCTCTTTCAAGGTCGGGGAAATGAGACCTGTTATTGTTACTGTTTTTGGCATATTGAATATTGCACTATAATTCACTTGTTTAAATATTCAATTCAGAGGGGTTGGTCATATTTACAACCATTACTACTACCATAATCTAATTCTAGAATATTTTCAACTCTAAAAAGCAAATCCAGGGGCTGGAGAGATAGCACAGCGGGTAGGGCATTTGCCTTGCATGCAGCCAACCTGGGTTCGATTCCCAGCATCCCATATGGTCCCCTGAGCACCGCCAGGAGTAACTCCTGAGTGCAGAGCCAGGAATAACCCCTGTGCATTGCCAGGTGTGACCCAAAAAGCAAAAAAAATTAAAAAAATAAAAAGCAAATCCAGGGGGCTGGGGAGATAGCTCAGGAGTTAGGGGTGCATGCCTCACATGTATCAGGACCCGAGTTTTGTCCCAGAAGTGCATCTAGTTTTCCCTGACCCCAGAACTTCTGGGTGCTCCCTTGGTGCCACTGGGTACCACTGAACTAAATAGACCAGCCTGGTCGGCCCAATAGCGTCAGGTGTGACCCCTGAGCCACTGGAGCAGTGCTTGAGAGGCCCCTAATAAAAATGGAGTGAGTACAAATAAAAGGCCAGGAGAAGATGGCTCAAAGGGCTGAAACAGATGGGAGCCCCAGGTTTGATCCCTGGTACTGTATGTTCTCCTGAGCATCACCAGAAATAGTCCCCAAGCAACAAGAGTGGTACTATCCCCCCAAAAAAGAAATGAAAATATGGGGTCAGAGAGGAAAGGAATTACAGTGCTTGTCCTACATGAGGCCAACCCTGGTTTGAGCCCCAGTACCACATATGGTCCCCAGAGCATGATCAGGAGTGATCTTTGAGCACAGAGCCAGGAATAGATGCTGAGCACCACTGGATGTGGCTCAACCCTCCTCAGCCAAAAAATAAAAATAAAATAAAATAAAATGAACCATTAGCAGTGCAGTCACTCTCCAATCTCTGCTCCTCCAAGACTCTGGTTACCATTAACCTTTCTGAATCAATGGACTTTTTTCTGTATACTTCTGTCAAGTGACTTACTCAATATGTGAACTATTTGGATTGATTTTGTTTTCCAGGGCTTCATAGTTGTAAGACATTATGATTACCTTTTTGTTCTTGTATGGTTCCCAAGGTTGGTTCACGTTGAAGCAAGTTATCACCAAGCATCAGCACTCTGTTTCTTTTAAGACTAACAGTCTACTGCATAGTGTGCCACATTTGTTTCTTTCATTCACCACTTGATGGATATTTGGGCTGTTTCTTTTCTTTTGTTTGATCTGTATGAGCCACACCTGGCAGTGCTTAGGGGTACTTTAGCTTGGTGCTCAGGACTCAGTCCTGGCTCAGTCCTTTGGGTGGGTTTGGGGACCATGCTGTACCGGGGACGAAAGCTGGGGCTCCAGTCCTTCAAGTCCTCTCCCTCGCTCCTTTCTTTCTATTTTAACTAATACTACCGTGAATATTCTTGCACGAATTTTTAAAAATTTGTTGTGGCTTTTTGTTTTTGTTTTTATTGGGCCACACCTGGCTGTTCCAAGGGGTTACTCCTGGCTCTACACTCAGGAATTACTCCTGGCTGTGCATGGTGGGGCAGGCAAGTGGGGGAGGATGCCAACCATATGGGATGCTGCTTGCAAGGCAAGTGCCCTACTTGTTGCATTATCATTCTGTCCCCCTAGAATTTGTTTTCAGATGTCAAATTCAGGGCCTACCACTGAGCCACATCCCTCGTCCTCCTGTACAAGTGTGTGTGTGTGTGTGTGTGTGTGTGTGAGTGGACATCTGAGGTGGCTCTGGTGATGCCCAGCACCTTGGTGGGGCTGAGTCTTGCTGAATCACCAGCTTTGTACCATCCACCCTGCCGGTAGATTGCTGGAAGTAGTTAGTCCCCAGCACTGCTTGGGAGCACCCACATCTGGAAAATCAAGGGGCTGGAACGCGCAGGTCAGCGGTAGATGATACTTGCCTTGCAAGAGTGAGACGCAAGATAACGTCCGCGGCACCTAAAAAAAAGAAAAAGAAAAAGGTGAAATCCCTTCTAGCTGCATTACTCCGTACTCTCCCCCTTGGTACCTCTAAGGGTCTTTAGTGCTACGCTTGAGCTGAGGAATGCTACCCACCTGCTTAAGCCCCAGCAGGGAGTTCTGATCTACTTACTGTCAGTAAAATTCAGAATCGTCAGTGCCCGGGTGCCCCGTTTCACCACCAAGTGCTAGAAATCCCCCCACGGCGGCTAAGTCCTCTGATCTGAGTGAGGGTCTCTGGATGGAGAGAGAACCCCAAAGAGCGGACAGCACGTCCACCAGAGGGTGCTGTGGGGGCAAATTTGTGCCGGGAGGGGAGCGTGACCGCGTCCCTCGGAGCCAGGTAGGCGTCTCGGGGAATTTTCGTTCTTCCCGGTGTTTCCTCCCCTCCCCCAGGAACCACGGCGCCCCTCCCCCACCAGGTGCTTCGCGCTGCTCCCCCCCACTCCCGCCTCCCTCCCGAACCATCAGCCCCCCGGCCTCCCCCCGCCCCACCCCGCGGCGGGGACTTCCCCGACGCCCGCTCCGCGGAAGCCCCTCCGGGGCGGCGGCCGCCGGCGAGCGGGCGGCCCGGTGGGTGGGGACCTCCTTGGGCGTCGGCGGCGGGCGCGCGCCGCAGGGGCCGCGAAGGGGTTAAGGCGGCGGGGGGAGGGGAGGGGGCGCGGGCCGCGCCTGCGCTCTGCCGCCCTCCATTGTCTGCACGGCGGCGGGGAGCGCCGGCGAGCGCAGCCCGGGAGCGAGCGGGGCGGCGCGGCCGGGGCGAGAGCGCGACGCGACGGGACCGCGGGCCGCCGAGGCCGGCAGGGTGGCGGCGCCCTGAGCGGGGGACGCGGCCGCGCAGGGCCTGGCCGGGCGCCTCCCCGCGCGCGCCCGCCCGCCTCCCTGCGGCTCCGGCGCGGGGCCCGGGGGCGGCCTGAGGGGAACATGCGTGTGGCCGCGCGCGGCCGCCGCCAGCCCTAGCCGGGCCGCTCCGCCCGCCGCTTCCGCCCGGAGATTTTATTATTATTATTATTATTTTTTTCCTTGGCTTTTCCCGGGCCTTCGCCCTCGGGCCGCCCCCCGCGCGGCCCTGCGAAGCGTTTTCGGCCGCTCTTCGCGCGCCCCCCCCCGCATGCTCGCCCAGCCCTCCCCCGGCTGCTGAGTGAGGGGTCGGGGGGGAGGGGCTCGGCCTCCGCGTTCCCGCCCCAGCGGGGCCCGGGCGAGCATGGGGGGCAAGCAGAGCACGGCGGCCCGCTCGCGGGGCCCCTTCCCGGGGGTCTCCACCGATGACAGCGCCGTGCCGCCGCCGGGAGGGGCGCCCCACTTCGGGCACTACCGGGCGGGCGGCGGGGCCATGGGGCTGCGCAGCCGGTCGGTCAGCTCGGTGGCCGGCATGGGCATGGACCCCGGCACGGCCGGAGGGGTGCCCTTTGGCCTCTACACCCCCGCCTCCCGGGGCCCCGGCGACTCGGAGCGGGCGCCCGGCGGCGGGGGGTCGGCGTCCGACGCCACCTATGCCCACGGCAATGGTTACCCGGAGACGGGCGGCGGTCACCATAGAGACGGGATGCTGTACCTGGGCTCCCGAGCCTCGCTGGCGGATGCTCTACCTCTGCACATCGCGCCCAGGTGGTTCAGCTCGCACAGCGGTGAGTCGGCGGGCGCGGGGAGTGCCCGCGGCGCGGGGTCGGGGGTTGGGGTGGGGGGGGGGTGGGACGCGGCCGGCGGGCGCCCTGGGGCTCGGGCGTGGGCTCACTTGTGGATGGGCAGCGCCGAGTCCCCCCGGGTGGGCGCCCGCCGCCCCTCGGGGGGAGGGGGTCGTTCGTGGCCACCAGCCGGTCGCCACCAGCCCCGTCGTCTGTCACTGCTGCGGTGTCCCCGCCTCGCCGTTCCCCGGAGGGAGGGCACGGCGTGTGGGGGTGGGGGTCCGGTTTACCGAGCGCTGCCACCCAGAGTGTGTGCGAAGAGAATGGGGAGCCAGTGGGGCTCCCTGATGGGGGCTTCCACCCAGACGGAGGCGCCCGGTGTGGCCACCTGGCTGGAGATGGGCTTGGATGGTTTAAAATGGAGCAGCAAGGAGGCCCCTGGCAGAGACAGGTGTGGCCGGATGAGAGGAAGGCCCAGCCCGCAGCCTCCCTGGGAGGCCTTGAAGGACCAGGGCCCCGGAAGCTCGCTGCATGCTTGCAGTAGGCTTGGCTCACTCTTCCCTCCATCTTTTTCCTCTTCCAAATCCATCCCCTTCCATGCTAAGATCTTGATCCGGTCCTCCCAGCAGTCTGTACCTTTTGGTAACAAGAGGTAGCACATGACCGGAAGGGGATTCAAAGAATCTGGGTGAATTCGTTTTGTGAACTCCTGGGGACTGGTCAGTAAAAAGCTGAAAGTCGATTTCCCAGTCTCTGGCTGGCAGAGCTTCTGGGAGAAAACAGGTCTGTCTGCTCAGCTAACCCGAGAAGCCAGGTTAGGCTTCACTGGTCAAAAGGGGTGTGAGGCCTCTCCTTTTGCTAATTGAGCAGTTGGAGACAAGTCAGAACCTTTTGAGAGAGAGAGTTGAGAAAATTTAAATGTTGGATAGGAGAAAGGTTGCTTACAGGGATTTTATCTGTTGCATCACTGCTCTAGGTGTTGTGAAATATGGTAGGGTTTTTTTTTAGATCTCTTTATTTCTGGAAATGGTCTGCTTTTTGTTTTTTTAACTTAGAGTCCTCTTAGTGCTGCCTTTTGAATTGTTAGGGTGACATTTTAATCCTTGAACAGACCACTAGATAACATTTGGAACTTCTCTGATCTGCATTGGATATCTCTCCTGAAAGAGACAGGAGGGAGGCTTGACTGTCTCTGGCACTTTCAGTCATTTGGTTCACTTTGGACATCATAAGACTATTCTTTCTTACAAAAATTGGTTTAAGAAGAATCAGCTATTTGAGATGATGTGGTTAAGTTTTTAAAAGAACTGTCCTTAGTATCTGATTTTAAAGTGAAAGTTTAAAGAGTTCTCTGTAAAATCACTGAGTTGTGTTTGTTACAAACCAAATGTAATCCCATAAAGGCTTGTCTACAGAAAGAGCTCTCTTTTTGTTAATTTTTTCTCCCGATGCTGGGAACTGAATGTAGGATCTCATGCATGTTAGGCATTAACATTTAAGTTTGTCTCTTATTAGAATTTCTTTTGTTTTGTTTTCAGGCCATACCTGGCGGTGCTCAAACCTTACTCCTGTCTGTATGCTTAGGGATCACTCCTGGCAGTGCTTGGGAGACCATATAAGGTGCCGGGGGGGGGATTGAACCCTGGTCAGCTACATGCAAGACAAGCACCATACCCGATGTACTATCTCTCCAGTCCAGAAACGTCTTTATTCTTACTTTACTGCAAGATCCCATGCCATGATTTGTGATTGGACTAAAAAAATTTCAGATTTCCTCAGTTCTCAAAGCTCATTAGTTATTAAATGTTTTCCCCCCTTCCAGTTGTGTTGATGGCAGAGTGAGCCAGTGAGTCATGGAAAGTGAAACACTGGAGCCTGTTCATCCTCTAGGGAGGGGTATCCAATGTGTTTCTAGGGGCTGGGAAGATAGCACAGTGGGACGGGACCACGAGCCTTCCATGCAGGAGTCCTGGGTTTGATCTCCAAGTCCCCTGAGTACTGCTTGTAGCAACCCTCTGTTGAACCAGGACTAGGCTCCAGGAACTACCCCCCCAAAAAGAAAAAATGGGGTTTGTGTCTGTGTGTGTGCGTGCACGTGCAGTTAATGTATATATTCTTTAGGGGGTGAAGAGAATACAGGGGTAAAGCGTCTTACATCATTTGAGTTTGCTTCCTCACACTGCATATGGTCAGCCAGACACTGCCAGGAGTGATCTCTGAGCACAGGGCCAGAAGTAGCCATTGAGCTACTGACAGCTGTTGCCCAAACTCCTGTCCCCAAGTTTTATATGTGTATATACACATATACACACACATGATTTATGATTGAACTAATGTTTTTTGGGCTACACCTGGTGATGCTCAGGGGTTATTCCTGGTCTTGCACCCAGGAGGTGCTTGTGGAACCCTCTGGAATGCTGGGGATCGAACCTGGGTCAGTTGCATGCAAGGTGAACATCCTACTATTGTACTATTGCTCTGGCCTCCATATATATATACATATATATACACATATATATACATATATATACACACTTTATAGGACAATTCTGTCTGTGCAGGACATTGATTATAACTAGTCTGCCCTCTACTTTCTGTGCATTTCCAGATATTCTTGGTGGGGGAGGGTGGCAACACCCTTAATGTGAACTTCTGACATAGGGATTTCTTCTTCCTTTTTAATTTGGGTCACACCCAACAGTGCTCAAGGCTTACTTCTGGTTCTGTGCTCAGGGATTGGGGGACCTGATGGGGTGCTGAGGATCAAACTCAGGTCAGCCGTGTGCAAGGCAAGTGCCCTACCTCTGTACTATTGCTCCATCTTGGGATTTGTTCTATCCAAGAAATGAAATTAGATTTTCCTGTGTACAGTTAATCATTGATTTGGCCCTTCGTATTTCCAGTCTGTTGTAATGGTGATTCCATCTCCCCTACGGAGCAGGCCATGGGATTCTCCTTTTTCCTTTTTCTCTTGATCATTGCTTTAAGAAGATAAATTTCTATGTTGTAGCCTTTGAGTAAGGTTTTTGCTCTGGTGTCCTGCGAGTCAAAGGGTAAGAATTTCGTGTCCAGTTGGCCAGATGCCTGGAGCTGATGTGGTGATGTTTGTTGCTTATATTTTCAAGGTACTTTTGTCACTCTTCACGAGCATAGAAAGCCACTGTGAAGCAAAGGAAGAGGGAAGTTCTGCGTGCACTGGCCTCCCCAAAGGGAGTGAGCCGGTGTGTTCAGAGGTAGACTGTGGGTTCCCAGCTCCTCCGAGGGGCTATGACCTTGGGGGAGACACATCCTCTCAAGGCTTACTTCGTTATTTTAAGGATAGCTGTGATGGGGCCAGTGAGTAGTTTAAGGAGTCAAAGGCATACCTGGCATGCAGGGGCTCTGGGTTTTTTCCCAGAGCACTCCCCAGGGTTTGCCATGGGGGCCCCAGCACAGCTGGGCCTGAGCATTGAGCCATCTGAGAATTGCTGGCCATTCCCAGAGCCCAGAGCTCTGCTTACGGGTGCCCCGTCCCCCATCTTAAAAAAACAAAGATTACAAGAATAGGTGCAGTGATCTCTAGCAACCAGCCTATAAAAATTGTTGCTCAGATCCTTTGAAGGTTCCCTGAAGTAACACTTCCCTTCTCTCAGTGCCCAGGTTCCCTCTCTTCCCTGAACTGAGACCCTCGAACTGAGACCCTCAGTTGCCTCTTCCCTGTCCCTCGAATGTTGTTTTGTTTCCTATTTCTGGAGAATTCCTTTGAATTCTAAGCCCCCTTGGGGCTCAGCTTTATTCTTCACAGGGATCAGTAGGGAGGTCCCTCCTTTTTGCCACACCGTCACTCATTTGTATCTTAATAACACTTCAACACAACTGTCTTTTTAAAATCTCTTTCCTTTTGGGGCTGGAGAGATGGGTACTGGCTTTGCACATGGTCAACCCAAGTTCAGTCCCCAAAACCACATATTGTTTCCTGAGCACAGATCCAGGCGTAAGCCCTGAGCACAGCTAGGTGTGGCCCCAAATTTAGACGAGCAAAACCTAATTCCTTTTCAGATTTAGCTGAACTAAGTTTTAAGCTCTTAAACTTAAGAGCAGGATTCTCTTAATGACTAGTGTGACTTTGTACTGTGTGTCTGATGCAGACAATTTGTAGTAGGATTGAATTTGAGTGCCTCGTGTCTATCTCATTTAATCTCACTTAATGAGGTCAGACTATTCCTCTTCTCCAGGAAACTGATTTTGGGGCACTGGGATTAAGGAGTCCACACTGGGTCAGGTAGCTAAACAGGCAGTTAAGTTGGAATGGAAACCAGCCTGCAGGGCCAGAGTCTGGGCGTCACCCTGGAACCTGAGGGTGTCAGGGGCTGTCCTGGGTGCCACACTAGCTGAGAGCCCTGAGGGCCAGGCTCAGCTCCCTCCTGGGCTTCAGATCAACTGCCTGGCCTGGGACCTTGGGAAAGTGAGTCATTTGTTATTTGTTTATTTATTGTGGTGCCAGAGATGCATGCCTGAGAGGCTCACGCATGCAAGAGCCCTGAGCTCTCTCCCCAGGGGTTACTGCAAAGGAAGTCATTTTAGCCAGTCACCATTATGTCACCTGTAAGATGGAGACAATGTCCTGCTTACCGTGTGAGCTTGTCTATGAGGGTCTCGTGAGATATTCTATGACAGCAGCTGACCATGCATAATGAAAGCCACTGTTTAGAGTTCTCTTCCACATGGTCAACACAAAATATGTGTGTTTTGGCCGGATGCTTCCAAACGCTACTCAGGGAATCTGAGAGTCACTTGCAGCAATACTCTGCCCTCCCTCCCCCTCCCCACCAGAACAGTATTAAGGCTCAGCAGTGTGAGTATTAAGGCTCAGCAGTGTGGCTGGGCTGGGTTCCGTGGGTGTGCACTTGTGGTGCTCCTGTGGTGCTCCTGTGGACATGATGCCTTGGTGCGTGCAAGGCATAGCCCTGAGCCATCTCCTCAGCCCTGGCCTCCTAGAATTTGCTGGGCAGAGAGGTTTAGAA